GGCCTGCTTCGTGGCGCCGGGGGTGAGTGGCCCGCGGCGAAGCCCCGCCCCCGCCGCCCTCCGCCCTCACCCGCCCGCCCCGCAGGCCGCGGCGCAGGCGTGCGCGCCGCTGCAGCGCGAGCTGTCGGCGCTAGCGCTGAGCGGCGCCGAGCTGGCCGCGCGCCTGGAGCGCCTGCCGCGCGTCGACCTGGTGCTGCTCGCGCTCTACGACCCGCAGCTGGACGACCCGCAGGACCAGTACGGGTGAGTCCGGGAGTGCCGAAGTCGCGGCTCGACGGCGACAAACTCGTCGCAATTTTGACGCTTAAATGATACGTTTAATGAAAATATGCAATATAAATTACGTTCCAATTATAAAATTAGACTACCCTCGCGATCGGCCGAATATCGGATATATTCACATTTCAATTTTGGTGTGGTTTCATTTTATAAATTGGCTTTGTTACGTTTTGCCAGAAATAATATCACTTTTAGATTCAGCGACCCGAATCGGATCCCGAGAATGGCGATTCCGTTTAATATTTTTTGCTTACTCCTTTGAAAAGAGCAATCTCATCTCGTACTACCCGATCGAAGTTTACGACTTCGATCGCGCGTTACTGAAGGCGTCGGGGGAGCGTCGATTTGACAAATAACGTACGCCCCGGTGGAAGGGGCGATCGCTGGCCACTGTCCGCCGAACTAGCGGGCGGCGCGGTCATGCCGCTGTGTCCGCAGCCCGCTGCTGGCGTGGGCGCGCGCCGCGCGGGCGCCGTGCGTGGCGCTGGAGCCGCCGGCGGGCGGCTGGGAGGGGCTGCCGTGCCGCGCCGCCGTCGTGGCCCCGCTGCCCGCGGCGCTGGCGCCGTCGCTGGGCCGCGTGTACCTGGCCTGCGTGGGGGCCCCCGCGCGGCTCTTCGCCGACCTGCGCGTGGCCTACCGCCCGCCCTTCGGCGCCAGCGCGCTGCTGGCCCTGCACCCCGCCGACGAGTAGCCGCGGCGGGCGCGGAAGCGAGCGGTTCAACGTGACGAGCGACGACTGTCGGCCCCGTAGCCCGAGACGCGAGCGGCGGACCGGAGCGGACGGGGGCCTTTCCTCGGCGGGCGGGACGGAACGGACGACGTCGCTCTCGACGCGTTCGCGTTCGCGAATCGTCACCGGTTCGTTCGCAGTTTATTTTTGACCTGACGTTGTCGAATATTCATCGTCGACTTAATTTCGATTCGTTTACTTGACGTTTCAATAAAACTGTTCGAAGTCGATGTGTTTTTTTATTTATTTCGTGTTTTTGTAACTCGGCCCGGTCGGACCGAATGAAACTCTCGCTAAAGACCAATCCGTTTATTGCGGAAGTAAAAACACAGGCGGATCGTCAGAAGCACACGACGAGGTTCACTTGACGGACATCGACATTCACACTATTGATAAACACCTCCGTTCGACGGCGGCCCGTCTCGAGGAGCGCCCGACGGCGCCGCCCGCGCCTCTATACAATACCGCTCAAGGTCTTTTCGCAGACGCATCTATCGCGCACCGGCAACTGCGGCGCTGTCGGGCGTATTTATTAAATACACTTATTACCAAAACATTACATACACCGGACTAGACCGCGCACAGCTCCGTCCCCGCGGGCGCGAAACGCCGGCGGGGAGGGCGCCCCGGGCGGTTACAATTGGCCAAAGTTAACTGACCGCGGAAGACCTGCTCGAAGGTAACCTGTCGCGACCGGTCACGTCGCCCTGGCGGCGGCGACGGCGCAGCGCGGCGTGTCTGTCGTTTGCCATGTGGCGGTTCCGGCTCGAATCTAGTTTAAAAGGCGCCATCGCCGTAAAGCGCCATCGACTAGACTTACACGTCGTACCGGCCGCCGACCGCCAACATACTATCGTCTAAAATTTGGCGAGTCTCGATTACTATTTTTGGTAAAAAATATAGTTTCAAATTGTAATCGATTGTTAAGTGAAAACAGTTTTACGAATGATGTTCTAAAACGCTGAATGAAATCAAAACCGGCTTTCATAGACTTAGGGACTTTTATTTTAAAATGTCTTTTTTTTTGCTGGACATAGATTCGGTTCTCTATTACTATGCTCTTTATCGAGCGAGTTAGTTTGACATGAAAACTGATAAGTTATTTCTTTTTTCAAAAATATTGTGTGGAGCTGATATGAAAAATCATTATATCTCTGGGACCGCAAGGAAAACCGTCATATCTTTACAGACGGTTATAGTACTAATTATGTGCGATTTTTTGACATACTTCATATAACGGTAAACACTGCGGATTTTTTTTAAACAAAGACAAGTTCTAATGCGAATGATAACAAATGCACATTTTTAAAATATACATATATACCGTCATGCCCGTCTCCCATTGCGGTAGGCAGAGCTTTGAGTGACACAAGGTTACTAAAGCCACGTTGGGCAAATGTTTGGGTTAGCATACTATAATTAATAAAACCGATTTTTGTGTAACTTAGTGCACCAAATAATAATAACAAATAATTTATTCAGTACAACAACAACAACAGCAATACAAGTACCAAAAGGTGACAAATGAATACAAATTATAGGTTGTACATAATCTGTCAAAAAAGCAACTGGCCATCAAACAGTTCCCAAACAAGGGCAGCCCTTTGGGAGCTGACGACAATCCTCCGCCAGTAAACAGTCTTACTAATATTTTACAACCAGTTAGGGAGACGTGTATACAATAGTATAAGTAATGACAGGTTGCCAGCCCGTCGCCTACATATAAGACACTATTAACCCAATCCTCTGTCGACTTTTACGACTTGCGCGGGATGATAAGCAGCTGATACATTCGATGCTTTCGTCTGGTTCCAAATCGGCATAAAACAAATTTTTAATGTAGTTTACTTAATATATTTAAAATAAAAAATGTATATCCAAAATATTGTTGCATCGCATGTTCTTTACGTGTATGCTAGGGTGCATACAATTGTTTAGCAGATAAAATTTAGGTAAAAAACAAATTAGAGCTTAGCACTTAACAAGAATTATACACCTAGAACCACACAAAAGCTTTCTTTCGATCTTAGATCATCATTTAAAATAAATGGTTGTAATAAATTATTTTAAATTATTATATTTTTATTTATTTTTAAGTATTTAATTAATATATTAATTAACTAATGAGTCTGAAATATCCCTCAGAGTACGGATACGGTCACAAATTATAATTATACTGTTGAGTAATTAGTTCTAAATGCAAGATTTTCAGTAGATTTAGATTTTGCCAGAGCATTTTTTGGAACTCCCTAATGAGCGGTAGATAATTAACATACAATTGCAAATCACTTCACTAATTTTAATGGTCAAAAAGCAACAATAAATAGATAGAAAATATGTTTTATATTTAGTACAAACTACACTTTTCAACTGCCAACATCTGTGATCACAAAGTATTATAATGGCAAATTTTGCTACCAATCTAGACTTGATAGTTATTCTCAAGTACGAAAACACTTCATTTAATCACGAAGTGCTACTCGGGGCAGTGGCAACACGACTAGGCGATAATCTTACTGACGAAGACCGTGCCACCCTGAAAGAATTTTGTCGGGGATTCACACGAGCTGCTGAACAGAGATGGAAGAAATCCCACCGAAACAGTGAGACGTTTAGAAAGCAGTACGAGAGTTGGCTTCAGGCAAATGTTGATTGGCCAAGCTGTCAAGGTACAAGACTAGAGGAATCAATAGAAGATTTAATCTTTCCAAAACCTACGACGTTATCGTCAGTTAGCACGATGACAAAAATATCCCGAAAACCCTTCGAAGATCTGGGAAACAAACAGAAGAAGAGAAGATCTGACGAACACAAAAATGAAGATCCAAATGAATTGGCCTACTCAGCTGCAGCACTTTTGAAAAAACAAGGCAATGAGGATATTGCGTCCGTTATCGAACATATGCTGAAGAATCCAGAATCAGCTACAAAAATAAATGAAATGCTTAAGAAACCAGATCATAAATTTACACCGGAAAAGGATCTAGGTTTGCTTCTTTCATTAAAGGTAACTAAGTGGCAATACATCACGTTAAGGGAGACAGCCATTCGAGAAGGTGCTAAGGATATTTATCCGTCTTACTACAAAGTGCAACAAGCCAAGCTGCAGTGCTATCTTCCGAAGCAATCGGTGACTGTCCGATTCATCTGCTAAAATTAGTCTTCAAGCTTTACTGGATATTACAGTGAAAAGGATCCTTGAAAGTCTTCCTAGCAATGTACAAGATACGCATTTGACGCTAATATCAAAGTGGGGATTCGATGAAGCAGTGGCCATCAGTCACAAAAGGCAAATGGATGACGAAATTAAGGCTCTTATCCCTACAAAGTGTAACAATAATATGGTAAGTCATCATCATCTGATGATGACGATGATTGATGCTAAAGTCTGTACATATCTATCTGAAGCTAGATCAAATGCATCTTGCTATTTATGCTTGGCTAAACCTACGGAAATGAACCGATTAGACACTGTTATATCTAAGATCGTGTCACACCCGCATTAATTCTTCGCATTAATTTGTTCTTAATTTTTTTCTAATGAAATATTTTTAAGTAACTACATCTTAATAATGTGCATTTGTTATCTTTCGCATTAAAAGGCGTCCCCGAAATTTTTTTTAAGTTTAAAAAAAAAATCCGCAGTGTTTACCGTTATATGAAGTATGTCAAAAAGTCGCACATAAATAGTACTATTACCGTCTGTAAAGATATTACGGTTTTCCTTGCGGTCCCAGAGATATAATGATTTTTCATATCAGCTCCATACAATATTTTTGAAAAAAAAAAAGAACTAATAAGTTTTCATGTCAAAATAACTCGCTTGATAAATTTGAGCATAGTAATAGAGAACCAAATCTATGTCCAGCAAAAAAAAAGACACTTTAAAATAAAAGTCCCTAAGTCTATGAAAGCCGGTTTTCAGCCCACTGTGCGTCGCCGCCGCTGCGTCCGCGGCGAGGACTTAGTGCTATACGTTTGTGCGTTTCTTGTACGTACATTTGTAAATGCTTATAAGAGACGATTCGGCCGAACCTTTCGTATGTATACATAAAAAATTTTTTACTAAGATACGTAGGCGTATAAAGTTTTCCATTTCAAAGTTCGCTTACAAAACGGTACATGTCGGGTTGGACATTACTCTATACAACGATATATAGTACAAAATATTGGAAACTTGTTACAAAACGACGTTCCGAGGAGGAGCCGGCGGCCGGCCCTCTGCGGATATGTTACATTATAGCGACAAAGATCGTGTCGGGGTGGGAATTAATATGATTACGGAAAATACACATTTAAATGTACTTACACTCGATAAACATTAAAAAATACAGGTGAGATTTAAATTGTATACATTTTTACATTAGTGTCTAAAATAATAGTATCTGTACATTTCTTGATATTAAAAAAATATAGAACCAAAAAGTTCTAAATGGTAAATCGATTTAAAACTCAAGGTTGCGCCGGCGACGTCGGTCGAGGTGCGAGACACGCGACACCATTGGTGCTTCGCACTCGTTTAGCCGCTATACACACGTGGACATCTATACAATCGTTCAAATGGTTTTTGCAAGCGGTTAGACATTGATAACAACCGAAGTAGCCACGCAACTGCTCCCGTCTTTTGTTTGCTGCACTCCCGGCGCGGAGCCGAGCGCGAGACGCGCCGCGTGACCGCGGAGGTGACCCCGAGTCGAGACGTGCCACTCCGGTGCCGGCACGGCAACGAAGTCTGAAATGCTACCCGTTCGTTCCTAGAGGAAAAACGTTGCCAGTGCTGGTTGGGCACGAACGTTGCTGTGTCGTCATCTTTAGGATTTATTTCTTTTTTCACAGCTCCTGTCTATCTGGCGCCAGTAGGTTAATCGTCCGTTCTTGGCAGCACTCGTTAACGTGTCTTGTCTTTTTTGCAATACTTAATGAAGTCGATTATCTGGCGGCCAGCTCCCGCACAATTTACATAGGTTTCTTTAATAGCCAGTTATTCAGGCGCGTAATACCCTTTTCGTGCATTCCAAAGAGAACAACCGTCCCCTCGAGGCGTCGGTCGGACGAGGGGCGGGCGCGGCGGGCCGAGGTTTACTCGCATTTCGGGTATTGCGCGTCTACAGCGGCGGGGTTACAACGGGCGTCGGCGCGGCCGCGGGCCCCGCGCCTCAGTCGCCAGGAGCGAGAATCGAAAATAATGCAGGAGGGGCCCGCGGCGGCGCCCGAACGGCAACAACCTAAAGGTCGCGCACGTGGACACGCTTACAAAAGTGATATGATCGTGTACAACTCGAGGTCATTCATGCGCGTTACGCTCGTCGAGACGTCGCCGAGCGGCGTCGCAAGGGGCGGGCGCGCCCGCAATATCTCTTAAGGTAGAAAAATAAATATTCCAAAATCGAGGCGGAGCCTAGAGCTCGCGGTCCCGGGCGTCGCGGGCGTCGCGGGCGTCGCGGGCGTCGCCGCCGCCGTTGAGCGCCGGCTTGTGCTGCTTGTCGGCGTCGCGGCCGTCCAGCAGCCCGTCGGCGCCGGGCCCCAGCGCCTGGCGGATGAGCGCGTGCGTGCGCGCGCGCAGGCGCAGCAGCTCCTCCTGCACGCGCTCGGTGATGGCGCGCCGCGTCTCCTCCTCCGACGCGTGGCTGCGGCGCAGGCGCTCCAGCAGCGCCTGCAGCGGGATGGGCTCGCCCACCAGCAGGAACACGCGCTTGCGGAAGTGCAGGCGGTAGGGCTCGCGGTTGGGCAGCACGCGGTCCATGCCCTCGTGCCACACGGGCAGCACCAGCGGCGCGGCGGCGGCGGCGGCGGCGTCGTGCACCAGCCGGCCCACGCCCCACTTGAAGCGCAGCGCCGCCTTCTCGGCGTTGACGCGGCCCTCGGGGAAGATGTGCACCCACTCGCCGCGGCGCAGGCGCTCGACGCAGAAGTCCATGGCGGGCTGGTGCACGCCCGCGCCGCGCACCACGGGCACGCAGCGGCCCAGCGCGAAGAAGGCGGCGTGCAGCGCGCGCGTGAAGCAGATGTCGTGCGCCGCCAGCGACCAGCGCATGCGCGCGCCGCGCACCAGCGCGCGGCAGTCCAGCACGCCTGCGGGGGGCCGGCGTCAGGCGGACTCGCTTGGCGAGGCGCAGCGAGTCGCTCGACCGCTAACTCTTTTCTTGTAAGACGTTCGACCTTAACTTGTAACAATAGTGCCTCCAGTGCAGTGAAATCCTCGAAAAGCCGTTACCGAAAAGAAAAAACATTATAAACAAACCCGACTTTTAAAGACTGCCTGTACGTTATGGCACCGTTTACGAGCAGATGAGATGAAAAGGTTCTTTAAATGATTTTAACTAATTTCAGGCTTCTCACCACGATGTCATTTACTTTTACTCTCCCGATATTTCCGAACGGTCGCACGCTCCGTGGTCGCGAGTTAACTGAACGGCGGCAGACGCCCGCCGGTTTTACTAATGATAATCATTCAATGAATAAGCACGAAACCCTTAAAACCCGAAAAGATTCTTTATTCGTGCACTTCAGTACGTTTCACGTGTTGAAAAATACGTTACGAGAAGCTCCTTTATACGCCGTCATTGATATTACCACTGTCTCGCACCGACTTAGCAATGATGAGTCCGAACTCGCCTCGAAAACGTCTTCATACCATATTCTTATCTTTATTGGAACGAAAGGCTCTAAAAATATGTTCTTACCTTTTGTAAATTATTCGTTAAACGCGAAAAAGAATTAAAAAAAAAACACCTACAATATATTAAAGTATGACACCTGAACTATCAAATAAAATTGAATATGTATGTATCAGTTGAGACATTGAACCATACGATTTTTGAGCAGCTGTTGTTCTACCATTTTTCATAGAGCGCCGTTATAGCACACATTTTGCTTATTTACCTACAAATCTGTTTCTTCTCTACTATACTAGCATAATCTGAGATTTGTAAAAGTTGCAACAAATTGCAATCTTACTTTCGGTTTTAACAGTGAGCAATCATGTTTGTTACGACTTCTATTAAAATCACTCGTGAATGTAAATAAATGAAACGAGTGAGTACCAAAACAAACAAGCCATTTTATTAGACCCCCAGTGTTGCATCGGCTGGTGCGGGGCCGGTGGGGGCCGGTGCGGATCGAGCCAATGAGACAATCGTAACGCTCGTAAGTGGCGGTTAAGTGAACCCATTCGCATAAAGGCACACGTCATATATAACAATAAACAATGCGATTGCGAGACTGTGAGGCGACTCGATGACGGCCACACGTCTGATTGAAACACCGTCACCTTGACGTTCCTGAAATCTTACGCAGGTATTCATTTGTAGTAATGTTTAGAGAATCATCATTCTTGGCGTTCTGGTTAAAGCCAAATATAATACTTGAATAGGCTAGAGGGAAATTGACACAAGGAAACCATAATAAATGGGTCAAACGCCTCGGCGGGTGCGAGTGACGCGCTGATAAGGAGTGGAGGCGCGATCGTGCGCGTGCGCCGCTCGTAAACAACGACGACTAGTGGTACTCGTATATCACTTAATGTCAATGACAGGCAGTCGATCGGCTCTTATTCATTACATTTACGACTGATTGGACTTAAATACAAGAGGAACGGGGTAGCACGGCTGCGGGCGTTGTTAAAGACTGTTATGGTTCTTTTACAAATAAATTACGTGTATTTACGATAATTTGTGAAAAAAAAGGTAACTTGGGCATAAGTGCGTCACTGGCTTAGGTGTATCGTATGATAATCATCCTTATATCGTACGGAATCCATCCTTATATTGCGGAAGGGCGACAGGGAATATGCAACGCGTGTGCAATATACAAAATGAAGCATATGAAACCAATAGTACTGTCGTAACTCAAAATTGTGGAATTAAGAAAACACAATTTGAAAATGACATAAAAATAATGGATGAATGGATTTTATTGGGAATAATTGAATAACGTGATTATTTTTATTTGTACATAATACTGAAGTATCCATTTATAAACGAGAATATATATATTGGTTTCTTTAAGTTTTTTTATATTTTCAAATCATGTTTCTCAATTCACCCAATTTTGAGTTACGATAGTATTTGTTTTCGTGCGCAACTTAAAGAATGGTCAAGAAGTATGTACGTATTATGTATAGCAAGTGTTTCGGTTCGTCGTGTCGTTTATCGGCTTGTTATCGTTTATCTTTCGCGTTAATTGTGCGATATACTGTAATAGGCATTTGCCTAAATATAAGGAGTATAAACGATATCGCAAGTGAAATCGCAATATAACTAAAGTATAAATAAAAGTTAATAAAAGTTAAAGTGTAGATTTTAAAAGCCAAGAGAAGTAGGATTTTTTCCTGTCGAATGCTATAAGTCCTGGACTGAATTAACAATGCGTGACATTGCTATTTTAATCGGAGAATAGTAAACGAAACCGTATATTACAGAGATTATAACGAGTAGTGAGTAGTGCGCGCGAAGCCGATCATAACACATATCTAATCACATGATAGATGATTACCTACATGTTACAAAACGAAATGTCCTTTATAATGGTGACAAATGTTTTACAATAACGTAGTCGGTAATCATATTATTGAGATGATAATCTCAAATTAGGTATATTTACTAGAGTATAGTAAACAATTTTCGGGGAGTGCCCAATGTAGTATTAACAACGCCGCGCTCAGACTATGAACTTTTTACCATTTGTACGAACCGAATTCACACGGTCTACGCGGCTATTATTGTGCAGCATGTGGACATAATATGTATAATAATGCAATTTAATTTAACTTACTATAATTGATCTCTTTGTTTCTACTAACTTAGCTTATAAGATTTGTTACGAACAAAATATAAATGGTCTGATAATAAAATGAATTTGAATTTTTATTCGTCGCGCCTCAGTGTGTCGCGTGCGAGTACATAGTGTCATGTTGGTTAGTTAATTTACCCCAGAGCCCGGGGTCGTCGAAGCAGGAGTGGTGGTTGGAGACAGTGAGCAGTGGCACGCCGTGAGGCCGCCGCGACACCGCCTCTCTCAAAGCTTCGCCGTTGTACACCGTGGTCTTGTTTAGGAACTCTGCAACCATACATCAAAAATATGAAACAACCATGATTACTATATGCACTGCCCTCCCTTCCTTCGTTTAGAAGATATGCGCGGGAACGCCCTTCACCTTTGCTCCGGTTATTACAGATTATGATTAGTCATGCAAGAGTATCCCCCTCTAGTTAAAATCTATTTATACAAGTTTTTGTCTAAGTAAGGCTAATGCATTCGCAATAAAAAACCTCATACTTTTCCTTTTAGTATCTAATCTGTATTTGTATGACATTATTGAATAAAATGTTTATCTTTCTGTCTGTCTAAGGCGTTGTAAGGTGTGTTTGCTTTGTTTGAGGAATGAAAGACACTTGATTATTCAGATTCCTCTATTGCCACTCTACCTACTGAAACCATGAAGATCTGGATCCTGGCCCTCAGTTTAATGGAGAATAAAGCTTACTACAAGTGTTCTATGTCATCTAGATCACTTGCAGTTTTTGAAACAACAAAAGAATGATCAATTTACAAGTTATCGTATTTCACTCACACACATTTTATGGCATGTGAAATCAAAATTCATGTACTTACACTCAATGTTGTTTTGTAATAAGCTTTGAGATTATAAAATTATTATTAGGTTTTTAAAAATGTATAATAGGCTTTAAAACTGTTTTTCATTTACTTGACTAGAATGTTCTTTTGTGGCACTTAATTATCATGCAAAAGTGTAATAATAACAAAAACAACAGTCAATTGTAAAGCATAGTATACCTGTAGGTACTTTTATGACGTAATCAAACAATAGCACAGTGAAGAGAGTGAACTCTGCCTCTGTCACAAGTACAACCATTGAAGAAATTGTAATTTTAGATTTGTAATTATTCCCCAATGTCAAAAAGACATTTTTAGTATTTATTTATTTAATGATAAAAGAGTAACTATTTGTTGAATTTTGTTGTTATTGAAATAAACATCATACTCACAATATTGGTAATTTTCATAGATAAAATGAGGGTAATGAATAACCAAGCGCTGAATAGAAATAAATAAATAAAACTTAATTGCTGTGTATTTTGTATAATAAATATGGGCAAATAACTTATTTGAGGTAAACAAACCAGGCCAAATCTGAAGTGACCATTCCAATTGATTGCTAGTTGGCATTAAGACTTCTGTCAAGATTTATTACTTATAGATTACTTTCAATAATATGAAAGCAAATTTTTTGTTTTCAAATCACAATAACTTAATGATACTAATGGTATTAAAATGATGATAAGATTAAATAAAGACAATCTTTTTGTAGACATACAACAAGCACAACAATGAAAATGAGGACATTAAGCATATTTGTCATAGCTCACAAGCGCAATGTACAAACTAAAGTGAGTGCAGGAAATAGAACTTCGACATTGTGTGAGCAACCTTCAGTACCAATTATCTGACAGTTAAGGAATTGCTCATCAAGGCCAACTTACTGAATCAAGTTTGTTATATTTTTATAAATAACATAATCAAAGTCATTAGGAGTTTGCTGAGCCACTGACCTTTAACACAAAGTTCTATGGCATCCACTAGCTATACAATTAGTAGCCTTAACTTCTCTACAGGCTCAACTTTCGGCGGCAATACAATATAATATATGTCAAGATGAGTGTTTGGGGTTTTTATTTTAGTTTGGTTGTGATGCACTGTGAAAGATTAGTAGTCAATACACAGTAGGTTCTACTTTTGTATGCAGGTATGCACTAGTCATCAATATTCATTATAATAGCCTGCAACTCGTGCGCGAGTAAATTAAAACGGCGCGAAATCGGCGAAAATAGTACATAACATGTTCGCCGCATGGAGGTGACGTGACACGCGAAAATGCTGACTAGTTAACTAAGTCCATGCGACCTCAGGCTTGGCTTGTGTAATAGCTCCGCGCCCACAAACCTGGTATTCACAACTGGCACGCATGCTGCTATTTCGTAATCGCGCGTTCCGTTCTACCCTAATTTACATACACTTGATGACGACAAGAGGGCGTGTATTGCATCCAGAAGGTCGAGTAGGGGTGTGTGGAGGCGCACCTATGACTAGCTTGCTGAAGAGGCCCACCACGGCGACGGTGAAGGAGCTCGCGCAAGACCATAGGGTCCCCGGGCAACGCAGCCGCGGGATGATCCAGCTGATGTCGTAGGCCATCGCGGTGCGCTCTCGCCCTGGCCCCGCGGCACTAACAACACATGCTTACTGTGAATAACGCGTATATAAATCAATTTTTACGATACGCAACTCGACACCCGTGCGACTCAGTAGCAAAATTGACAGCTGACTGACAAGATGACACACACATGACAATAAAACTGACGTTAGTCTTGTAGTGTTGCTATAAAAATGAGAAATATTATTCATTTAATAGCAGAAAATATAAAGATTTTAAAAATAAATCCGTTTCTTATTAAGTGAGATTCATTAGCAAGTTACCCGTCGTTCTTAGAAAAATCCGTCATATCAAAGTCTAGTCAGTGGACCTTAGACTACTATTTTTTGGCCATCCCCTAAGCAGTGGACAGATATACCTATACCTTAGACTATATTACGGTCAATTTCATTCTAGTGTTCATGAAGTGTTCAGTAACTACCGAGTATATAACAGTGTTGGGCGTTAAGCAATTAAATTTCAATCAGAAATTCAATCAGATTAAAAAATCAATTCAATTGAAATCAAAACAGCAAAACATCTAATTACAAAACAAATGGAATCAAATTTAATCGGTAATTAAATATTAAATACGTAATTTTACAATGTTCGTCCATTATAACAAAGCTCAAGTTAATTGGTCGATTTGAAGTGAAACAATTGACGACACCCGTCAATTGTTTCGAATTCGGGCTGACGAATCGGAGCGCAGTTGTCACAGTTATGATGTGGAAGAATAGTTTTCAAACAAATTTGGCGGTACCGAGCGGACCTATTCTTTTGCTATGTCCACGCCTAATAAATAATAATAATAATAATAATAATAATAATAATAATAGTTTAAAATAAATACGATAATAATAATAATAATAATAATAATAATAATAATAATAATAATAATCAGTTCCAAAGTGCCCTTGAGAGTGGGACGCTCCCAAACTTCTTAACTACTGGGGTCACTCATTTAGCTCCAAAGAGCGATGCTACCGTGGATCCATCACAGTATCGCCCCATAACTTGTCTTTGTACAATATACAAGACTTTAACATCTGTTTTGAGCTCCAAGATAAGTCAGCACATTGTTGATAACAGTGTGATGTCTGAGGCTCAGAACGGATGTAGGGGCGGTAGCCGCGGTAGTAAGGAGCTGCTCCTCATCGACGCGGTCGCTGGCCAACTTGTCAGACGCAACCGTCGGAATTTCTCCGCTGCCTGGATAGACTATAGGAAAGCGTTCGACTCGGTGCCCCACTCATGGCTCTCGAGGGTCCTCGAACTGTATAAAATTGACAGTGCAGTTCGACACTTCCTCGGGCAATGCATGGGATGTTGGAGAACGATCCTGAGTCTGGACGGTCGGCGGATGACGGATGCGGATGACCGAATAGAAATAAGGCGAGGTATATTCCAGGGCGATTGTCTGAGTCCACTGTGGTTTTGCCTGGCCCTGAACCCTCTGAGTACTCTATTGGAGAGGTCGGGCACAGGCTTTCAGTTTCGGAGAGGTGGGCCGCGAATGCCTCACCTTCTCTACATGGATGATCTCAAGCTATACGGCCCCACAGCTGACAGATTGACGGAGCTGCTGACAATCACCAACGATTTCAGCAGTTCGGTTAGGATGGAGCTTGGGATCGATAAGTGCGCGGTGGTCCATGTTGAGAGGGGACGTGTCATGCATTCTGATGGCATTAATATTGGCACCAATCACCTGCGGGTACTCTCCGAGACTGAAACATACCGGTATTTGGGCATGTCACAGACCATCGGAGTGAAGGAAGCAGACGTGAAACAGGGTGTGTGCGAGGTTTTTTATGGGCGCCTGAAAAATGTGCTAAACAGCTATTTGTCAGGCGTTAATAAGATCCGAGCTTATAACTCCTGGGTCATGCCTGTTCTGATGTACACATTTGGCGTGCTCAAATGGACTCAGACGGAATTAGACGCTCTGGATAGACGAGCCCGCACGACGATGACCTCTCACCGAATGCATCATCCGAGATCGTCAGTTATGAGATTGTATGTCCCGCGGAAGTGTGGAGGTAGAGGCCTATTAAGTGTCAAAACCATGCACAACCGCGAGATATGCAGTCTCAGAAACTACTTTTTGACGATGACGGATGACGTAATTCGTGGAGAGGTTGTCACATGTGATAAAGGGCTAACTCCCTTATCGTTGGCCAAAGAGGAATGGCGAGACCCGGTGGTGCTCAGCACTTCTGACCGCGAGTCCGTATGGAAAGAGAAGGAGCTCCATGGGAGGTTCTTCAAGGTACTCCACGAGCCTTTTATGGACCGTAAAGCCTCCCTACATTGGCTGCGTTTCGGGGACCTCTTTGGGGAAACCGAAGGTTTTGTCTGTGCAATACAGGATCAGGTTATCAAGACGCGGAACTATCGGAAATATATCCTAAAGGACGGCACAGTAGACATTTGTCGGGCATGTGGCCGTCCCGGAGAGTCACTTAGGCATATTGTTTCCGGCTGTTCCGCTGTTGCTAACACTGAGTACTTGCACAGACACAACCAGGCAGCCAAAATATTACACCAAGAGCTCGCTCTCAAGTACGGACTAGTGCAACGGAGGTTGCCATATTACAAGTATTCACCGGAGCCAATACTCGAAGATGACCGCACCAAAATTTATTGGGATCGATCTATTATCACGGACAGGACTATTCTTGCGAATAAGCCTGATATTGTGATATTGGATCGATCGCAGTCGAGGGTATTTCTTGTGGACGTCACCATCCCGCATGACGAGGGTCTCGTGAAAGCTGAAACCGAGAAACGCCGGAAGTATCTCGACCTGGCGTACGAGATCACCGACATGTGGGATGTGGCCTCCACTGAAATAATCCCAATTGTTTTGTCCACAAATGGGTTAATTCCAGTCAGCCTTTCTAACAGCTTGAGGCGGTTGGATTTCTGTGGCGTGTCGCTTCCAGCACAAATGCAGAAGGCGGTCCTGCTCGATACGGCACGTATTGTTCGCCGATTCTTGGACCTGAGTCCCTGACCCCGGCCGACTGTGCCATTGCCGGGAAATACCGCCTCTCCCATTTAAAAATTCAAAATTAATTTTTTAGGCCTTGGGAGAGGCGAGAGTTTAAAATAAATACGAAAATAATAATAATAATAATAATAATAATAATTTAATTTAACAAGGATAATACTTATGTCGAAAGGAATATTCAGCAATCTAAACTGCATGGAAAACAGACAGTCAGTAGAACAAACATGAATTGATCAAACCAACTTCTGTAAAAAGAAGACAATTAGCTGATCATAATTATATTCTAGTATTAGTTTTTCGGGCAAACGATGTTTCTGCTGTAAGTTATTTATTCTGTAACTATTACAAAAACCAAAATAGTCATCTCACTAATGCACAAAAAGTCGAACCGTGTTCGGAATAATGAGATTCGGTAAAAAGAAATTTGTGTTTGTGATAGGTTACCGTTTTTAACAATAAAGACCCCAAGTGCCCTAGCGATTAATATATTTAGCCTGATTTGAAAATTAAATTAATTATTTCATAAATGATTGATATCAGCACACACAGTGCTGATATCAATTTATTATTCGTCCACTTTGCTCATTCCATCTCAATACAATTTTACAGATACGCTGATTACGTATCTGTTTATTACTACATACGTTGTGTTGTCCGGAACGAATTACTCAAACATTCCTGCTGTATTTAATTTATTGAACTGAAGTCTCAACTCCATTGCAATATTGGTAAGCGCCGACATATCCATGGTATTGGAGAGCGACAATCAGTGCATGCTAGTCATCAGTAGAATGTTATGCAATAGTTGTGGTAAATCAACAAAATCGTTTCTTTTTTCGTTAGGTTCGCTAGAAAAAGTTATATCAGATTTTATGAGATTTCCCTACAAAATGGCAGTTAAATGTAAAGTTGTAGGAAGAAAGATAAATATATAAATAAATAATTATGTATTTATTATATTTACATTTATTTTATTTTTATAACTAACTAGAATATTCATTTATAATTGCGGCTACTGGGCTCGAGAATTTGAACTTGGGGCAGTGCCAGTTTTCTTTTGTAAAAATTATAATTATAAAAATTGTGGCGATAGTCACCAATAGCTGAATCACTATATTAACTTGTCCCGTCACCTGAATATTAAGAAAGAACCATTTTACATTAATTTTGATTAATTAAAAAAATGGTCCGACTTTTACGAACTGATTTCGATGTTCCTTTTTTTTTGTTAAAAAGTGAGTACATCTGTTGTGGTCACATTCAAATTTGAAGAAGATATTATATATACTAGAGCTGATGATCGAAATGAGAGACAGATGAGAGGAACTCCTCCACAGTGGACAGCAGTCAGCAGCTACCTCGTGTTTGGGCTCATATTGTTCCTTTTGACGAGGACTTGCATATTATGCGTTTCAGTTATCGTTCAGGAGACCACGGCAACTAACAGCGAAAGCGCAGCTAATTTTTGAGGTCAATTATTTTTTTGTAAAACGTTATAATTATTTTATACGTTTATTATATTATACGTATGCATGTAGACAATGTTCACCGTTGATGGAGGAAGCAGAGTAACAGCGTCCTAAGATATATATTTTGTAAATATGTATCAAAGATGGTCCAATATGGGCATTATTCTTCAAGTTAATAATTTTTGGCAAAAGGTAAATCCTGAAAGTTGTTTATTGGTACGTAGTATGATTAATGTAAATGAAATAAAGCGGAGAAAATGTAATTGAAGCAGGTAGACGGGTGCAGATCTTGCTGCCTTCTTAAGGGATAGGATTATCGATATCATAAAAATAATACCGGGTGACATTGACTTACAATTATATGGACGTCGGGTCCGCGCTAAAAAGTGTC